ATTGTGGGCGTTTTAGTGACAGTAATGGAGGATAGAGGCGGGAACTGAAGAGCGCCACCTAGTGCGATCCTTACAAACTTCTTTGGCTTTCATCACATTCAAGCGTTGGTTTATGTAGGTTTTCACTGTTTGTTGTTTAGGGTTGTTAATAATAAAATAGCTATGCATTCTATACAAAAAATGGATCTGCGTTAAGTATTTGAAGGAACCAAGTATTACATTGATTAAAAATTCAATTTATTAAAAATTCTACTAAGATTAATGTCGGTAAAATCACTCATACTACGAAACATTGTGCGAGCGTTGTTTTACTGCAGTTTTTTGTATGGTTGCACCACCGCTCTAACGCCTATTCTTAAAAAAAAAACAAAGAACTAAATGTAGATAAAAATTCACACAATATGCAGCCATGTTGCCAAACAGTCAGAAAAGGAACAGCTACTTATCTCGCTCTAAAAATCATGAAAGGACCGTCACAAACGCCTCGGTTACTCTCGTTGAAAAATGATCACTTTATATTTGTAATTTCGTTTCAATTTACTTTGAACAACGAAAATTTTTATTACCGAATATTTTAGTGCATTTTAAATTTTAATTATAATATGGGTTTTGTTGAATTGAAATTTAGTTTTACTTGAACTTAAACTCTATTAAAAAATCTTTAATATTGTCCTATTAAATTTAGAATAATATTGTCTGCTTTAAAAATATTTTTTAATCTATATTATTAAAATATTCTAGCTAATACTTTTATGAGATAAAAATATAGTGATAGACGAAGCTTCATTTCAATTACGATAATGTTAATGACCTATGACAATATGGCGTCAAAAACTTCAAACGTTAAAGAACTTTTTTGTAAACAATCTTGACGTAAATCCATAATTTCTTTCACACTAGTTATTATAAATAAATTGGATCTTAAATATTAAAAGTAAAGGATCAAAATGTGTTATATTTGTTTTCCTTCAAACGATGCGGCAACAAGTGAACTAAAATAAACAAATGCTGGTTAAGGATAAGTTTGTTTGTGTTACCGTCCTCACACAATGACGTAACCCCTTGCTTTTGTGACGAAAAATAACACAAACATTTCCAAGTTTACCAGGAAGATTTGACATGAAATTGGTGTATGAAATTATATCAAGGAACGGGTTTTGTTGATATTACGAACTTATAAGGAAAATAAAAATAACTTATTTTACCAAGTCATTTTAAATTACAATTGATAAATTCTGTGTTTTCTTCTTTATTAAAGCTATAAATATCATGTTATAATCTGTATTTAACCATAGATAAATTAGTCAGAGATAGTAACAAGAAATGTTAATGGAATAAATAATAATAAAAAATAGAATTACCTACATTTCCTTTTCAAATTGTTATTCTAAATTCAAAATTCATAAAAAACCTTAGCCAAAGACTGTGTACTAATTATTCTTATTCTTAATTTAAAATAAGAACAGAAAAAGTTTGAAGCTACTGTAATGTGTGAGCAGCGTGCCTAATTAGATCTTATCCAAGAAGTTGTAAACAAAACGGAGTAACACATTGCGCTCTTGAAGCGATGACAGGTGGTGAGAAAGATCGTGTCTTCCTTATACGAAGTTTTTATTTAAATTTTAGGATATTTTTATAGCATAAAACCTCAATGTGTTTTTAGAATATCGATGATTAAACTAGTTAAATTAATGACTTTAGTTATGTGTGGATTTTGCTGTTTGGAATTGTGAGGTCTAGTGTTATTTTTTCTTGTTAATTATATATTGTGTCTTGATAATTAATTAAAATTATAAGAATATTCAGGTATCGTTAAATCATTCAACATGAGATATATAATTTAAATAAATATTTCAACTTATAGTCTACGCAATTTATTAGTCAATATTCACCATAATTATATCCCATAAATAATAGTTAATGAAGAGAAAAAATATTTTCAATCCAAGTCATAATTAACACAGAGTAAACCAACACAAAGAAACAATTGAGAATTACGTGCGTAATACGAAATCGGATAAAATCTACTTACAAGTCTTTAGCAAACCATGAAGACAATTTATTTAAAAGCCCTTAATATCTTTTTAAGAGTTCTTATCGCGGAAAGGGTACTAAACAAGGCAAGTCGCGAACATTATTTAGAAAAAAAACCACCAAGGAGTTTACTTGTTTCAAAAAGGCGGGTCGTTGTGGACGGGGCATCAGATAGCAGCAGATTTGCGGCCAGTACCATTAACAAATTACCTCTTTAAAACTCCTTCTGAAAATGTTTAGGCTTTATGCATCTATATCAATTTCTAGGTCTTGGGGTTTTATAGGTAATGAGCTTCCGCCAAATAATATGAAAGTGTAAATGTGAATGTATCGGCCCTGCATATTTCTGCATATCAATATCCATTCGATCTATTGTAAAATATGCTATGAAAGGCTGATGCAAGCAGCTACTGCCCTATACATACATTTATGTATACATATATACATTAGAAATCGACAAATTATGTCGAAACTGAAATCTTATATCAAACCCATTGAGTTTGTATTCACTTTATCCACTATCATTTTAAGAGCACTATTTTATAGGTACTTAGTACTATTTTTACTTCACATAAGCTTTGCGTGATTTCTAGCGATAATACAAAAATGTATACGGACATTCTGTTTGGAACTAAGTATATAAATAAGGCGCATCCTGCTTGTGTACTTTTCTATAGGATATTATCATAAATTTCCTGCACTTCTTTCTTCGCAAGACCTATGTGCATAGATAGTCATGGTCAACACAAGTTTATTATTTCTTGAAAACAAGATAGCAGCTTGGTTAAATGTGTTAATGTAGATTCTTGAACGTGTTTCTTACGTAATTCACGTATTGCAAACAAGATGAAGGATAAAATAAAACAATTAAGCTTTTTTTAGTTAATTCGCGTGATAAAGTCGTTATTTTTATCAGATGGTATCAATGAACACCGCCGCCTATGGATATTCGCAACTCTCACTTATTTGATTCAAGCGACACGCCCCGACTTCTGATACTAAATATCTCCACGATTAATATACAAATACTATATCTATTTCCTTCCTCTTCAATTACTATATCTATTAAGCAAACCGCAGCAAAAACCGTTGCGTAGTTTGGAAGGTTAAAGCATACGTAGGGATATATGTAGGGGCATAAAAAGCAACTTTGTTTTATTCTATGCAGCGATGACTTCTACTGTACGGCCGTCGTATCTTGGCGACTCTTTTTTAGCCGCCGATTAGCTGCGCAGTACAGAATTTCGTTCTTAAAAGGTCAATTGCGCAGACAAACGGCTAACTTATATAAATAATATATAACGTATATATATAACGGATACGACGGCCGTACTATAAGGTGATCCTAACATTAATAAGAACGCGAGCAATTTACCTAAATTAAAAATAGAATAGATAATATGCTTTCAAATAGTACGTACCCTGTACATCCAACATACGTTATAATTTTTTTTATATAAAATGAGTATTTTACACCTGAACAAAGACGATATTTGCAGTGAAGTTTTGGCATATACATAAGTTTTGGCCTGTTTTCGTCACTTGAATTTCTTAACAAGTTCAACCCATCTCAATGTGTTGACGTTTACAACTGTAGCAAAACACCTGTAATTCTCGTAAAATTTCAGCTATAAAAACTTTGCAACCTTCTTATTACATAGGATATTATGTTCTACATGGCGTAGTTGTATATCAGGATATATATTTTTAAAATTTTAAGGGGTGCGCTTATGTTTTTAATTTTAACTAGTATGTTTACATTGCGGAGAGTAAATAATTATATTTTGGATTTAAAAATAAAACTTCATGCAAGTATTGGTTGAAAAAAGATCCCATTAGTTCTCCCGCCCGGCGTGGGGAAAAGGGAATGTCGGACTCTTACCAAGTAATCCGAAAAAGTAAAGAAACCGTTCCTTCTTTTTCTTCCAACAAGTCCGCTGTTCGTAATTTCGCGTGCAACCGTCAAGCGAGTTCAATAATTATGACCCTAACGTGTTAGGGTTATAGAGCGTAACAATATTAATGTTTTCAGAGCTATGTTGACTAAGATGAAGTTTAAATTTGTCCATTACATAGGGAATATTTTGCTGCCAAAGACCTTTTGGTACCTAAACACATTTTTTTATGTAACACTGCAACAAACGACCACACGGATTATTTGATGGTAAGCAGTCGGTGCTGCGCCATGGACACTCCCAACATCAGAGGAGTTGCAAGTGTGTTGCTGGTATTTAGGAACTTTTAAGATTATGTTTTTTGGGATTTGGGGATTGGAGAGGGATGACGGAAGGATGAGTGGAAGGACTTAGCCGCCGGTAACCTCACACGGTGAAATACCACGCTGTTGTTGTTTCATACCAATGATTCTGGGAGGCCGTCGAATCATTCGATTCGACCCGGCCCATTAGTGCAGAGGCATGGCTCATCCACACTTAAAGGTGCACATTCTGTTTCCTCATTATACGTGTCTACCTAGGTCGATTTTGGTTTAAAGTTCATGCCAAAAGTTTATCTATGACTCCCACATTCAAATGCCAGGAACAATCATCTGCATCCGTTTTGAATAAAACACCTACCTACTTATTCTTTTCTTTAAGATTTTTCCGCATCGAGTTACAAATAAATCAGACTGTTTCAAACGAAAAAACGGCTGGCCATAATTTACAGTCTCGTGCCGTTGCCTACTTAATTTCTTTAAAATATCTTATTTAGTGCTCTTATACTTCTTTTTTTTTCTCAAGAATAATCGTGGGAATTATGGTTTTGAAAGGTTCATCTGTTAGACAATAGTTATTTATTGAACGGGACTCATATAAGAGCGTCGTACAAGACATCGTGAAGCAGACGTCGTGAAGCAGACTGAATATGGGTCTCGATATGACTTGAAACTAGTTGAGCTGTACCTGTAAGCCTCACGATAGTTACTAGACCATTTATGTTACACTTCTTTTTGAGGTACTTGTAACATGGCGCTTGGTAAGTTTTCAGTGATTCAAATGATATTAATTGATCTTGATGCGTTTGGCGAAGTATCACTGACATTTATGATTTTTACTGAGAAATCGAGGACTAAGGACGAGAGACTTTAAAGAGCTAGAAACATATACCTAATTAGAGAAGAAAAGTTGTGTACCAACAAGACTACACTTCTTTTTCTTTGTCGAAATATCTTGGTCGTTGTTTATTTGTTACAAAAGTAAGTTATTCAACGCGTACATTTTAGTGAAATTAAAAACGCATTGCAGACTAGAACTTAATATAATAATTTTAAAAGCAAGGTCCGTGCAATATTAATATTTTTAAGAACACGTCCGCTTAGATTAGAGTGGTAGGGTCGGAACGCCGCCGCAGTCCGTTGCGGCCGGAAAGGAAGATTTACCCAAATTTCGAGCTACGTTAAACACTCAGTTTCATTTTTAAATATTTAAATGTAAACCGTATGAGCTCGTCGGATACGAATACCTTAAGTGATTCTTAGAGAAATGTTTATTAAGAGTTTTCAAAACTTACAATCATACTCTAATTTGAGTAAATGTACTTACTTTTGTAATGTATTTATCCAAACTAATATTATAAATGCGAAAGTAACTATGTCTGTCTATATTTTCTGCACGCCTAAACTACTTAACCGATTGCTGTGTAATTTGGTACAGACATAGTTTGGAACTCGAGAAAGGACATAGGATAGTTTTTATACAAAAAAATCTGCAGGAAGTCACTATTCTACGCGAACGGAGTCGCAGGCAAAAGCTAGTATCTTTTTTTAACAAACGTCGTAGTGGCCCGAAGGTTAAGGAGCCCATTTCTCATGCATGAGGGTTCGAAACCTGGTAAGCACCAGTGTGACGTTTTCCAATATAAATGAACTTTCTATAATTACATATATAATTACAATTATAATAACAGGTGAAGGAAAAAATCATGAGGAAACCAGGACTAACGATTTCTAAGTATAAAGTTTGGAATTGCCGTGGTGGTTGATGGTCAAACCTTCTCCGTATGAGAAGAGGTTTTTGCTAAGCAGTGGGCACTTCTATAAGCCTATTCCGATGATAATGATGATGATGAATTTACATCGGATATATACACTACTCGTACTTACAATATATGTATACAGCTATAAAATTATGGTCACATTACAATATAAATACGGGTAAAAAAATCTAAGTACCTAATTTAAGTCGCACCCTTATTATAATTTTCGGTATGTATTGCTGTTCTTATTTTAAATGGGGCGTAGCACTATGCGGAAGTGACATGCCGTGACGTCACATCCGGGCGTTGTTATGCACAGCGCAGGCGCAGGGTTGCCACCGGAAGCAGGAAGTTGTGGTGTTGCGGCGCACAATCTGGAGTTGGACGGCGGGAAACACTGAATCAAGTGCAGCCTGAGCTTTCTGTTTTATATATGAGAATGTAAAAGATATATGGCAACATTTTCATTTGATATCATCCGCGGCCGACGTAGTTCCCGTTGTTAGGTTTAATTGTTCTTATATGCTTGTATCCGTTATAGTCGAGTGAGTCTTTGCGCGTGTGTGTGTGTGTGAAGGTACCAAGGTACATACAAGCATCGTAACACATACGTGTGCAGTGATGTGCTATTTATAGAAATAAGTTGTTTAGCGCCTTCATTGGAATTGATATGGATTATAAATGTCAATTACATTCCCTCTTAGGTAGAGTGGTTGTAAACATGCTACAACCGATCACAGGGCAAGTTCACATTTTCATAAGTATGATATCTGTATTTAACGCCAGCTTTTTTTTGTAATTGGTCGGCAAACGTGCAGACGGATTACCTGATGGTAAGCAATCAGCGCCGCCCATGGACACCCGCAACGGAGGAGTTACGAGTGCGTTGCCCACCTTTTAGGGATTAGGGATTTGGAGATTTAGGGATTGAGGAGGGATTGGGGGCGGGGAAAGATTGGGCCTCCGGTAACCTCACTCACACGGCGAACAACAAAGATTTTCGAATATCTGACTACACTGACACTGACAGTATAGTAGAATTATTAATTTCTACAATACGATTGACTATAAAAAAAATCATCATCATCATAATAATAACGCACAACACTTTATGAACATAATATAAGGAAGTTTTGAAAATAGTATAGAAGAAAAAGATACCAAAGTAATTAAATTCGATATCTAAGTATAGAAAAATATGTTTAATCATAAATACACCTTAATACATTTAAAATAAAGCACATGAAAGCGTATTTTCCTGATATAATGTTCATAACACGATTTGTTACGAGATTTATCTGCAGACATGTAGAGACGTGGATCGCAAGACTTCCAGGACATGTGTCAGAACTTCCACTCGAAAACTTGAAGCGAACAAAGAGTAAAGCCCTGTTCTCGTACCGTGCACCGGGAACAATTTTATATCTTTATAATTTAATAATAAAATGAGCAATTTGAGAGCTTTTATCAAAATTAAGAATACCATTTATTACTCAAGTGTTTCGTTTGAAATGTGTTTCATGTTTTTGAGTTTGAGTTGAGTCTTAAGTACCCCATTTTTAGTTCGGTGTTATTTTTTTTATGACCAGATTCATGCTCTATACGAGATGGTTAAAGTACAAAGCACTAGGTTAGGTGGCTTTGTAGTTTCTGTGCGTTAGTAAATCGTGTACAATGTAGGTAAATAATAACGTATTTCAAAAACATCTTGTATATGTTGATTATACAATATCATTAATAGAAAGTCTTGTAATGTGTCAAGATGTTGTCGTTATTACGACAGATATCGTCAGATTTTAATTTCGGCAAAAAAAATCAAAGCTTATATTTAAACAACATTTTAAAAGTGCTAAAGAAAAACGAAAACAGGCGCCATAATCACGCTATACATTTTAGTAATTTATTGTAAAAACGTAAGATTAATTCTGATTACGTTTCGATAAACATAAATCCTCTAAAGCCATCAGACTTATCGTTGTGAATTATCTTCGATATTGATAGATTCACCTCAAAATTCTTCCCCATCCGTACACCTCACGGAGGCATCCAGCTGCATTTTATTCGTTATAAAACAGATCATAAAAGTTTAATCAAAAGCAGACTTAGGAACCTCATTTTCGCCCAAAACAGATGTTCGAATGAGAAATCTATTTAATAAAAAATAAAGAACATAGATCTAGTTCGATCAAACAGTTTTGATATCTATAGGACATATTTTATGGGTGTATTTGGCTTAAAATATGAACATAAGAGCTTCATGCGGAATACACATTTCTAGCCATTTATACTATGATTCTTTAGGAAGATATAAATCGGTTCCCAACAGAGACCAATTGTTAGCATGTCATATATAGATTTACGGGTGTGATATATCAGTTTGAGATAAACCTGCTTAAATTGTAAAGAATGTAAATCCGTAGCATTGTCGTCATTGTTACAATCATAAATATTAGCAAATTACTCGGATAATTGATACAAAGGCAAAAAGCTGTGTAAATTATGACAACTTAAAGTTACTGTTGCAATCACAGCAGTTGTACTGAACTAGCTACTGTTTTGTGGGCAAGAATTGTGTCAGTTATGTAACTTGTTAGTTTGTTACAAAAATTTACAATGCGATGTTTATTTTTCATAATTTATCGATAGTTTCTACGCTAAAGGGTAGCATTTAAATTTATAAGGTGTTATGCATTATCAAGAAACCTATTTTCTTGACTATTTTAACAGTTTAAACCTCATTATTTTATGTAATTCGTGTCTTTCAAAGTGATTAAAAACAAACAAACTTGGCATTTAACTTGTCAATCAGCGAAGTCTTCCCGTCAGATTGTACATTTGCGCATTAAAATAATATTAATTACTATTATAGTATATAAATAACAAGGAAATTATGAACTACATTCTTCCAGGTCTAATAAGGAACAATCTGAGAAAAATAATAAAGCGCAATATTTACACTCAACTTCCTCTTTTGAAGAAAGATGTGCAAGTCAAGGATCCATTTTATATCGAACCAATAGAATATGATAGTCTGACTCTTAGAAAACACGATAACGACAGACGTCAGACGCTGTACGAATTTGGTATGTATGTTGCAACATGTTTGCCAAAATATGTTCAGAAGGTTCAATTGCAGCACACGGACGAACTAGAGATCCTAGTGGCACCAGCTGGCATGTATCAAGTTTTGAGCTTCCTAGCTCTGCATCAACACGCATGCTTCAGCCAATGCTCTTCCGCAACTGCTATCGACGTACCTAGCAGGCAGTATAGGTTTGAAGTGGAATACGATCTTATTAGCTTCAGGTATTCGGAGCGAATCAGAGTGAAAACATACACAGATGAATTGACACCTCTTAAGTCTGCGTACGGTATTTGGAAGGCGTGCCAATGGTATGAGAGAGAAATATACGATATGTTTGGAGTAGTGTTCACTCACCATCCAGATTTGAGACGGCTGCTCACTGACTATGGATTTACCGGCCATCCTCTGCGAAAAGACTTTCCTTTGGTGGGATATATAGAAATTCGTTATGACGACGAATTAAAGAAGATTGTTTATGAACCTGTTGAATATGCCGAAGAAGCACGAAAATATGAGTTGCAGACACCATGGCATTACTTGAACAAGTTCCATGAAGGGTACAATCAAGAAATGCCTAAACCACAACCTAAGAAAGAAAAAGAAACATGTTAGTCGGTTTCAATTTTACATATAAATTATTAATTTGTGAAAAATAAACAATTGTCGCAATAACTCTATAGTTTTCGTTAGAACATTGTAACAACATTCAAAGAATATTCTACTCGTAGTATCAGACGTGCGGTATGCGTCAGACTTCTTTTGCAGATGCCTCGTTTGAATCCAGCCCATTCTCTAATGAGCTTTTGTCCTGACACAATGGGAGCCATTTAGTGGAGCGTCACACATAGCTCACGATAGCTCCCCGGCCAGATGACGGCCCTTTCTAACGCCTCAATTAATAACTTGGAAATTAGCGGAAAGTGGCTAATTATTCTATCTCGATTTCATTAAGCGGCTTCGTAAGTTGAACTGGTGTGAGTTACTCAAATTGGATTTCGATTCCTCATTATTATGCAGTTACAGTGGGATTTTAAATTGGCAAAATCTTTCTTAAAAAGTTTCCTTAAGTTTCACCTTCTAATCTTAGTTGTTCTACACTGCGTCTCTAGTGAGAATAAGCGATAAACCCACAAATAAGGGTTTATATTTCTCTGCTAACACAACATCAAATGACGAGAATAAAAAAAAAGGAATTACTATATTTTCTGCCTAATCCATGGTGTGAAAAAATCACATGTAGCTTAACTATAATTTATATTATTCACATAAAAACCCATCAAATTACTAAAAGGTTTAAATTAAGCAATCACAGAAATATATTTATGTCCAAAATCTTTATACATTCCAGTAATCCAGGCAATACTTAGAAACATCTTGCAGTGTCAAATTATGTAACACACAATCAATGTTGAACAAACAATTAATTACAGCACGAGTTTCAATTAAATCCAACCGAAAACCGACCCACAGTCATTATTATTATTAAAGGGAACGATTTAAATAATTATCAATAAACTCCCCAGAGTCTGGGGTTGTTGACTCGTAATATTAAGATCGGCCAATCAAAATAGCAGTGGTATATACAAATACGGAGTGAATAAGATTGTTGAATTTTTCGAAGGATTTCATTTGTGAAGCTCGGTGATACGGACATCTGTGTAAGAATAACGACAGAGTGGAGGATTGAATGAACAATCGGTTCAGTGTGTGTTGTGTCCTTCAGTGGTGCGCACGGCCGCACGCTCCCCGGAGACCGGCGAAACTTCACACGCGGTCGGAAAACTTTGCCCAAACACTAGCAGGGTAACGCATAACAATTATACTTTGAAATATTTGTTTAAAAGTCTTCTGGAATGTTCTAACGATCATTGCAATGGCTTTTCATCGATGATTTGATGTTTTTTCGAGGTAAGTCTGTTTATTTTATTTTTAATTTTTATCTTCGTTTTCTATTATGAATTTATAAATGTGTTTTTTATTTTGTATGCATATTTATTACATCTTTTGGTTATTATTGAAGAAGTAGAGCTGTTCCTTTATTATTAATTTACTTTTTTTTATCTTAAGTTATTTTTTATTTAATTTAGTTAGTGTATACTTTCGACCTTTTGGTTCATCTACTTAATAGAACTATTTATTATGTTAAATATAATTAAAAATAAATATTGTAAATTATGATATTAATTAATACAATTTACAGACATTTAAATAAGTAAATGCGATTGTTTAAATAAGTAAATGTTTCCATAGGTCATGTTTTTGTTTTGAATATTGTTTTCATGGAATCAAATAAATTTATTATAAAAAATATTTTGTAATATAAACATTAATAAAATTGCAATGCAATTTTAAAACTATTTGCTCTCACATATGGCACAAACCTTATATTTTTGTCTTTGAAAAAACAGTACCTAGGTACCTGTTTTTGAAAAAAAATAATTCTTTAGTTCATAAAAATTTCCTAAACGCCTTAAACTTAGACAATATTACTAATATTTATAAGTGACAATTTTCAATTATGTTTTTTAGTCTTCAAGGGATAAGCAGGTCTGTTCGCGTAATAAATAAATTTCATGTTATAGAGCGCAGCATAAAGTACAAAGGTATTATAAGGCTATATGAATATATATTATTAACACGAGTTAACTAGGTAAAAGGCATTCATGATTCTCCAGACATTTAAAAACTCCTTGGACAAATACTTGTTTCCTGTTTTATAAGCATAAAGGTCAACATTGCCAGTGTTAATGAAACACTTTCAAACCGATAGATACTATTGGTCTTTAATTAGATCCTGTTAGTGTCTGCTCTCCTGGTACTTTGGTTTTGAAGTACTTGGGATATTTGACCGACATTATATGTATTTATAATTATGATTACAATTTGTTTTCAAGTACGTGTTAATGTGGACTTGAGAGTTTTGTTATTCCTAGGCTTCGATGTTTCGTGTTTTGATTCTAATGGCAAAATACATACATTATTAAAGCTTATAATTGCCATTGTTGAGCAAAGGCTTTGTCTCACTTAGAGACGATTTGAGTATTAATCACCACGCTTACTCACGGCGGATTGGCGCCTTAAACTAAGGGTCCATCAAGACAGTAAAAAAAGAGTAACTGAAAAATTTAAAGCAAATCTTAAGGATTAATTAATACTGAATCTCTTTATGATAATTGTAAAATATATGAGTAATTTTTTCAGTTAACTGAATTAAAGCGATGTAGGTATCGTTTCTTTTTTGTGTACGTATTAACATTAGATAATCTTGGGTTGTGTAAAAAAAAAAACAATTTTAAATTACTTACGTTTCAAAAAATGTTGTAAGATTTCTGTGTGTTGTGGATGCGATTTTAAGCCTACACACACCCGCGTGTAATTACACACACAATTAGAGTATCCCGTGCGGTACTGTACCAACCATGCAGTCTTCTGAACTATATTCAATAGTTATATCTATACCTAGAATAAATAGCGTTATATATATTATCCTTACTAACACTTACTTAGTACTTTAGATCTCAAATACTTACAGTACTAGTTCAACTATGTTTATAACGCGGTGATTAAAACTTGTGCACTTAGTTACAGTTAACCCATTTTAGACCTAGGATCTCATAAGTTTTAGGTTCAAAGTTGATTCGTTTAGATTTTAAAAATAGGTACGTTTTAGCGTGTTCTAATAATATATTTTTTCTTTTTTTCAAAAAACGTTGCCCCACACTAGGATTTTCTCATGTGTCGTGGATAACACATACAGACTCGGAACAACAATTTCTGGACCACACAAAGGGTTGTTCCCCGCGACCCCGCTACACGTTGCACGGCAGCCACTTGCCCAGCCACCGCACCAACCGTGCAGTTAGTATGTAGATGTATTGTAGTCAATATGTAGATGTTGTATGCTTTAAATATGTTCATGTAATTTTGATTTGGTTTTCTCTGGTCAGTCATTATTTATTGTAACATAATTCAATTAATTATTTACGTTAAAACATAACTTTTTACGTCTGAGTTATTTGGCAATATCCAAAGTTAAATATTGTGATGATCGTCATCAACAACAATACGTCTCTTGCCCCCATTGGCTCTCGCGACTCTGACGAAGACCATGGTCCACCTAACAGGAGGTCTGCCCACTCTACATCTTTTAGTACATAGTCGCAACTCAACCACTTTTCAGGCCTATTGCTCGTTAATCCTTTGAGCAATGTGACGTTCCCATTGCCACTTTAACTTGCAGTTGGATAGTTGGATCTACCTTTTTCCTGAGGAGGAAAATCATCTGATGATTTCTCTCGCCTAGGGTGAAGCGAGAGGAGATGTCAGATGTCAGTATGAGTGTCAGATTTTTAACTAACTAAAAATCACCAACCTTCTTTTCCTGCTCCAGGCCGTTCTTCCGACCTTATAGCGTTTGCTCTGCAACGCCGGCTGAAAATCAACCCTGTGGGGTCTCATCTGGTGGTCAAATTGGCGTTTGTTCCTTACGCTCGGGTCTAGGTTTTTTTAGTCTATCTTAGTTAAATAGGGTAACGTTAGCTTTGTAAGATAGATAGGGTTAATAAAGCAATAGCGAGTTTAAAATAGAAAAATACTCATATGATAAAATTTACCAACATTTTTGTACCATTTTATTTATTATCATACACGATTGTGTGTTAATTAGTAATAACTACACATAATTTAATACATAAACACGAAGTGGGTGAAACCGCAAGTTAATAGATATGAACAGTTTATCAGAACAGGGCTAAATTTAACTACGTAGGAATAATACTATCCACAAAATTCATTAAACAATATTTATTATTTATCATACAGTGACCTTTAATGAGCGAAATCTTTTTATTCCGTATACCAATAACGGATCTAATAATCTGATTATTTTAGGGTCCTGTTGTCGTAAGGTGAAAAACCTTTGCCTATGCTTGACATTTTTTATGCATAATAAGTCATAAGTGACAGGACGGAAAATGAGCAGACAGATTACCTGATGGTAAGAAATCAACGCGGCCCATGGACACCTGCAACAACGAAGTAGTTCCGAGTACACCTTGAGGGGAGACCTTGTGGGGATTAGGTTTTTGGGGTTTTAGTTATATGGAGATTCAGAGTTGTTGTGAGTAAGAGAGTTCAGATAAAGATAGGCCAGCATTGGGTGGTTGCCTTGATGAAACTTATACATAAATATATAATATTATATTAATGTGTAACAGAAAACATATAAGTAGGCATAACAACATCTACATTTATTCAGAAAGATAGACAATTAAAGCAAACTATTAATAAATTTCAAGTTCTGCTACTTACGCGACGCGCACGCTGCTCCTAAATAGGAGCCCTGTTGTAGCTTTTCTGAATTAATTCACGTGTCGTTATTTTCAATAAATTTAATCTAGATCGATCTAGAAGTTTATCGAGTGTTTATTATGTATGTGTTAAACATGCCATGAATACAGAACCCTGTGTTTTAGCGTACAATTTTTCTATAAGTACTTGATCTTTTTTTTCATTGGAGACTGCGAACACATGCGTGGGATATCTGTAGGTTTATTTATTTTTATCTACGTAGTCCTTTAATAAGCTGACAACCCACTTGTTCAAGGTAATTATTTTTGAAAATCAGTTCCTTTTGTTCATTTCTACAAGATTTTTTATTAGAGGGTATATGTTTTAAGAACGTAGGTATGTGTGTGTATATGTACGTATGTTTGTGATGTGGAAACTGGTAACTAAATTTAAGACGCTATAACTACTACTGATTGAGCTTACTTCTTTGCCAAAAAAAAAATAATACTTGCTAATCTGTCGTTGGTTATTTTCGCGTAATGTGAATAGTCGCAAAGTTGCTTTGTAATTAGAATTATGTAGGTTTATTAATTTGGAGGCGTGTAATTTTATTATTATTTTTTACTTGCAATAAACTAGTGTTTGACTGCGATCCCACCAGATGGTATGCAGTGATGCAATCGTCGATGGTAAGTTAGTTAGCAGGCAGGTAGTTGTTTATTTTTGTCGTTGAGAACAATATGCATATTATGTTTTTACTTCCAAATAAACCTCCAAATACCAAAAGAATTCTTAGGTTGACCCTAAACAATAGTTTTGAGTCAAAATAAGTCGTTTGCGTTTTTATGAAATTTATCTATTTTTATGGCGCAAAGAAGAGGCGGTGCTACAACATTATTAAAATATAAATCAACCACATAAAAGCTTTTGTTTGTTGCTCAAAGAAATGCGATGAAAACAAAACTTTTAACTGACAAGATTAGACGAGAGGGACGCAGCCCCCACGACTTGTTACAACTGCATAAGAATTTTATCTCAGTTACGAAGTAAAGTAATCTTGTTGCTAACATTTTGGATTGATTTTGTAATTTGTTCTTTAACTTCTAACCCCTAAGTAACAAAACTATTTATTCGTGCGTAGGAAAAGGAGTCAAATTTCATAAGTAATCCCAAGACCTTACAATTTTATACATCACTTATATAAAAATGGTGTCTTTATTTTATTTTAGCTACAACTCGCTACACTTGCATAGTTTCATCCGCTGCTCAGCTACTTTTGGTCGTACCATCATAAAGCATATAGCATTCCTCAATAAATAGCCAATACAACACAAAAATAGATGTTCGAATGGAGCCAGTATTTCTGGAGATTAGCGCGTTCACCCAAACAAACTCTTCAGCTTTGTAATAAAGCATATTATAGATGACTGTAGTTGATACTGCAGTCCTTTGATAACTTGAATGATTTTCGAGTATCAGTACACTTGTAGTTCAACAAATACTAGAACTCCTTTTTGAACTCTAATGCCTATTGAGCCGAAAAATATTAGAGTAGAAAGCTATTTTCAGTATGATGACATGTAATATACAAAAACGTTGTTTATAGAAGAATAATCTGCTTGAAAAAAATACGAAATTACAATCTTGAACAAAATACAATTCTCGTAAGTAATAAAGTTAGAACTGGCGCGCTACTAAATTTAAACCATATTTTAATATCCAAAGTACCTGAACATTAGCCAAGCAACACTTGAAGTTACGCGTTCACAGTAAATCTACTTAGTATAAATGTTAGGGTATGGACTAGAGTTGGCCGGCCGGTATGAAATTTCCGACAGCGTTTGAAAACTTAGTTCCTACAAGTTTGGTAGGAGTCTCAGACAGGTCTTTCAAGACAATGCACATCAAAACAAGGCCTACAAATAATTGCGATTAAAGCTGCTGCTTTACGAAAGAAAAAGATAAAAGTTAAATATGACTAAAAGATAGGATTTCTTAATAATAATATCTTCCTCCGATGCCATCTATATTTTTCTCAATACTTTAATATTAATTTAATTTCCCAAATACTCTATCTACCTATATATGTATCTGGACTTCAGTACTAATATTATAAAGAGGTAAAATAAATTGTAAGTTTGTAAACTAGTTTGATTTCTAAAATTCTTTAACACCTACACAATGTTCCTGATTGATATAGGCTAAAACACCAGCGGATGAAACCGCGCAGTAAGTAGTATATATTATGTGATTTGACATAAGTCTGTTTTTTCACGTTAAAAACTGCTTGTCCACTATGCACTTTGTATATGTTAAAATTCGTAGTAATCCATTGAAAATGAAAAGGAAACTAACGGAAAAATGTTAACTTACTAGACAGACACTTGTGTGACAAATTCAGCTACAACTTATTCCATAAACTATTAGATACTCATAATCATCAAACATAAGATTGGCCAACTACTAAAATTTAGGATTACTCGTACCTTATTTCTTTCCTCAGATATCTAGAAACAGTCCACGAAGTTTCAAATAATTGTACAAGATGTTTGATAGTACCTAATTTTAATTCAGTTTACAATGTTACCCAATCCAACGAAAAGGGCATGACGAGTTATCTCTGCCTAACCTTTTAAAGTATAACAAGGGTGTTTGATAAACAAATAAAATGTCACGCGTGAACAGAGTATTAGTCGTGTTCGAAATAAATGTATAACATGTTGCGACGTTGCCAATAACAATTGAGACCGGGATTATTCTTCGACAGGGATGTTCCTGTAACCCGGCTGTCACGCTCCCAAACATTTGCCTTGTTTATATAAATATTTCGTGTTTCATTACATTTTCTGATTAAAATCGATGCCGTTTTTAATACAATGAAGCTTGGCGCTTTGTAAATTAATTGTTTGTGACTTTCTATTATTATATTTCTTTGGATGAGTTTCCATTGTAGATTATGGTCGGTTGTATTGGTGTTTTAGTTTTATTAAGTTCCAATGGATTTGGGGTTTTGTTGTGTTTTCTTTACCTTTAATTGAAGTTGAAATTGTATTGGTATTGTGGCATAACAGCGGTTTTTTTGTTCATTACTGTTTTGGCTCACTACGTGTACGGTTAATTAAAATTGTGTATTTATTGTGTTATATTGGCTTGGGTCCTAGGTAAAATTATCTTAGTGTCAGAAATAAATGCATTTTGATGTCAATTACCAAGAGGGGTCAGAAGTGTGTGAGCCTCATGCTTCGCTACGAATGGTTTGGCTCAACTGAAGTGATATCACGGCCTCACAGAAAAGTGGCGTGAAACAATGACTTAAAGAGGTGTGTTCTTTTCCCCTCAAAAGAAGTGTGTTCCGCCGTGAATGGCTCAAGTTTTCATATGTCCAATCTTTCCCCCTCTTAAATCTCAGAAACCCAAATCCTTAAAAAGCCGGCAATGCACGCGTACCTCTTCTGGTGTTTTGCATACCTATGGGTAGCACCAGTTGCTTACCATATCCCGTCTATTTATTTGCCGAACTATAATATAAAAAAGGAAAATAATATAAACAAAACAACATTTAAAACATACAAATTCGCGTTACCTATGTTCACTGACTGGTTAACTCATAACTTCCAAATTATTTAGGTAGAACAAACCAGACCTTGTGCAGCTAATCGTAATATGTGATAGTAACTACACTCGTGGGACAAACTATTCACAGATTTCGCTAAATTGCTTACTGTGCAATTAATAAGAGAATAGCCAAGTTATCGCTATGAAGGGAATTCTTAAACCTGCTGTTGTAACTGGCTATGTTTAAAAAAAACACCAAAATATTACATTGGTAAAAACAAAGCTTAAAATGTTAACATTCAGAAACAGAATACTTTAGATATCACACATGAACGAAACACTTCATTATAAACACGTTTCTTTCAAACCACCATCATACGTACTGCCATACAACCGAAAAGATCGATAAATTTTTATCTAAACGCGCATTGAAATAACTCCGTTGGTATCAATACGAGAGTGTGTAAGCAAACTGTATATTTTTTTTCTCAAACATATCGTCGCGGAAAAGTAGTTACCGGTGCCCGATCGCATCCGCGCTCATTTCACAACCGTTGTTATGATGCTCACAGAAACGACTGCGATAAACAGGAATAGTCGTAACAAGGAATCATTATTGGATCGAAAGGATTGAGAGCTTCGAAGACTTCGGGAACTTCGGGAACTTCTCTTTTCATGTCACACGCATCATAATTGCTTCGAACAGAGTGACAATGTGCCATCAAAATGTTTATATTAGCTCTCTGGTTTTATGTTGATGTGATGTATCATAAACATCTTCATTGGTTACGGAGCAACGACTTTTTAGACCGCGTATCCCTGTAAATGGTACCGTTAAGATATTAATAGAAGTCATAAAAAGATTGGCTCCATGTTTATATTATAAATCAATGGGAAGATTGTGTTTGGAGATTGTTTAATGGTGTTAAAGTGGACGATAATAGTCCGTTGTATCGTATAGTTTTGTATCGATTTTAATGGACAATTTAGTTTCAAAAATAAAGTGCTTATTTGTTCTTTTAGCACTATTGCATAACAAGTCCATATTTACTTAAACTTATTGTATTTAAAGGAACAGATTTCCATGAAAAATGTGTATGAATACCAAGTAGAAACAAAAATGCCTAGAATAGTATGAGTAGATATTAATATGGTATCTTGCTTGCAGTGTAACATGGCTTGAAAAAGGCTTTGCTTGATAGCAGAGTCAAGCAGCGTGGCTGGAAATATGCAGCAGCCTTGGTGGTCCATTTATTTACTGGCCATTTTCATGTTAGGACTAGACTCCAAGCTTGTAGGTAAGTGAATCGCAAAAATTCAAAAAACTGTTATTTTATTACTATTTATTTTGTAAAATGATTTTTAGAAATACATATATTTTTATTAAGTTAAATGCAAATACAAAGGTTATTTTCATAATAGAATTCATTTGGTAAATAAAATCATTTTAATATCTTAAAAGTATCAGTCACCTTCATAAATAAAAAAAAAACAGACACTCATAATAATTTGAAACTGAAAATATATAAACAATAATAAAATCAGCAGCTAACGTACAGGTACACAAACTAATAATGAAACAATTTTCAGGTCAAGCATTCCAGCCAGAATTCGCCGAACCGTTAATGAATTTGACTGTACCTATAGGAAGAGATGCAACATTTAGATGTCTAGTACAAAACCTAGGAGGATATAGAGTAAGGAATAGGGAAGAAGAAATTAAAATAAGAGTTTTTGGTCTTAAATTAATCGCCTAATACCAATTTGCAGGTTGGCTGGGTGAAAGCCGATACTAAAGCAATACAAGCAATCCATGTTCACGTAATAACAAACAATCACCGAGTCGGAGTGTCACATAACGGTCAGACCGTTTGGAATTTACACATTAGAAACGTACAAGAGGAGGATAGGGGTCAATACATGTGTCAAATAAATACAGACCCTATGAAAAGCCAGGTAAGGTTTATAATAGACAAAATTCAACAGTCTAATTTGACATCATGGCGTTCCAGGCTAGCTGCTCTTCAATCAGTTGATTCGAATATTTCTTACCCTTCCTTTTTCCCTGTTCGTCCCGTTTATAGTAACCTCGAATGCGAACTTGTCGATAAAGGAACTCTCTGGTCATAATTTCTGGTACAAACATCTTTCTACTACGGAATAACGTACGATCTGTAGGACCCCACGCGTGTTTAGCCCTAAATAGCCCAAGAAATTTACCAGAACGAAAGTAATGTAGCATTCGTGCCAACAATCCAATTACCACAATTAAGAGATAAATACTCAAAAGTATGTACAATGTTAGTAAATCAGTGGTCATATCTATTGATTCAATGAAATGTGAGTCCTCGAACTCATAAGTTTCGATTACACTCCAGCGAGCATACAGAACAAGACATATAAAAACCGGATTCAAAAGCCACGCTAACTTCAAGAAATAATTCGTTTTGATTCCTATCATGAATATTATATCCACGCTGTGTTTATGAACACCGTAGATCCAATACAAAGCGACGGAGAATAATAAGGAGTTAAATGCTTGAATTAGTTCTGTTGCATCTGTTAATATAGCCGTTATGTCAGAACACAAAAATGGCAGGGAACAAGTCACAATAAAAGCAAACAAAAACAAACTAGAAAGTTTTGTGTACCTCCTAGCTACATTATTATAGTGTAACAAATCTTTCAAAAATAAATATAAAATCCAAAAATTTATATAAAGACACAAGAAACAAGTTAAAAACCAGAAAAATCCCCAAATTGGCAAGGCATCGAAATAACTCATAATTTCCGACATCGATGCAAAGATTTGAAAAAACCGGCTGAACCCTAATTCTAGAACATTTTCTTCTTCTCCGTGATAATACGACATCGTTTTGATTCCACTGAACGAAATAAGACCAAGTATTAATGACACAAATAGTGAAAATAATGGTGTGCTTATAGCTGTCATGGTGGCTGGACTACGAAAAGATACATCAGCAGTTAAGAAAACTATTATACCATATCCAGTGCCAACCGAGAGAAACCCTCTAGCAATCGTCCTAAAACAACTAAGGAACGTATAATTACTCCAGTTTACAGTATATTTGGAAGCATACCACGTTCCACTTGTCGATAATGACACACAAAACAAAATAAGTATCACAGCACAAACGTAAAATGCTGCCAGCTTTACAGTGATTTGAATTATTTTTTCTTTCTTGATTGTAAGCACAAAAATTGATCCGCATATGGTGATTAGGGCCACAATTGTTTTCCAAGGAAACAAGCAATATACTCCAAGTTCCAGTGTATTATTTCCGCCTATTTCGCGCTCGAAAAAGCAGTTGCTCGCAGTTTTCATCCCACAATCGTCTTCAAATAAAATTAGAGCTTCAAGGCAATGTTGGAAGACAGAAACATTTACCCGTTTCACCATACATTTTGTATCTCCGAAGTCATCGCAACTAAGCCAGGGTGGGACGTCCAAGGCAGAGTAAAATGTGTAAACCAAATACCAAGATGTTAACACAAGCAAATATATTGTTTTCAACAAAATCAAAAATAATGTACCGTATCCAACATTGCGGAACAGTGGAAAGAAATTCCACATGGTAAATATATTGCAATTCGTGTACTGAGCCAAACAGATCTCCGAATACGCTAGCGGCATCCCGACCAAGATTACTGCCAGTGTTTGCAGTGCTGCATGCACATAAAATCCACTATGTGACATTGCAACAGGACAGAACATTACTGTTAATTCGTTCATCATCCATGCCCATAGAACAAGTTTGTAATTGCTGTAACTTTCCCAACGACTGTCCAATTTTGGACAATAGGATCCATCAACTTCTATTTTCTCTTCAAGAATCATTTTTTCACTACAATATAAATTTTGAAACGCCTACCTAACTGGCTGTCAATATCCATGGCCGAGTAGATTGACATTACTTATGTTTATATCTTATCATGTTGTTTATATCGCCTTGGAATGGTGGCTAGAAACGAATAAATAAAGGCGCAACATATCGGAGAAAATTAAATTGCAGTTAAAATAAACATTGGGGAGATAAAGTGAATTAAGCCACGCAGACGGGAGCGGGCGAGGGACGCAGCGGGTAATGATTCGTGCATGGTGCACCTAAATTATTGCGCTGCGCTGTAATTTATACCCGAAGCTGATAACGACATAAATCGCCAGCGGCGACAGCGCTCGAGGTTTCGACTCCGACGCTGACGCGGCATGACGCCACTTGACGCAATGTACTTTCGATAATTGTTTCACATTGTTTGCTGTTCTTTAACGTTAATTAATTACTCTGTAAATGTAATTTAAGTGGAGTCGTGTACGGATTAATTAAAATGCTTTTTAAACGGTTCCTATCGCGAATAACGTAGTAATTATTATTACGTACTTACCTACTTCTGATCGTCCAATTCTCATATTCATATGATAGGAAAATTATCTACTATACTTTGATTTTAGTTTTTAACTTAAACTTTTTTCTAGATGGGTTTCCTAGAAGTGGTAATACCACCAGATTTTATTCCTGAAGAAACATCAGGGGATATAATGGTGCCTGAAGGCGGCACAGCCAAAGTGTCTTGCAGAGCGAGAGGTATGCCAGAGCCCCGTGTTCTCTGGAGAAGAGAAGATGGAGCTGATATAGTCATCAGAGATCCTAATGGGACTAAAACAAAAGGTGACTAACATAGCATAGCCAAACTTTGCATTTAAGTCCATAATTGCAGATTCCTCTGAATTTTTAAACAATTATTTATTAGATCATTCTTTAATATAGGTATTAATGGGATTAATAGCAAAGAGAGTAACTAGACTGGGATACATCGCGTAGATTTGCGCTCTAAAGGAGTTTCGGAGCAAGCGCAATGAGATACCGCGACTCGGCCTGGAGTAAGAGAACGAACGGGGAGGGTTTTGAATCAGTAATAGTATAACACTCCATCTCCCTCTCTCATTCACACAGTCTTTGTAGATTCAGATATTAATGTTAATTTAATTTTCGATACAGTTGCGATGTATGATAAGGAGGTGTTGACACTGACGAAAATATCACGTTCGGATATGGGTGCGTATCTATGCATCGCGAGCAACGGAGTGCCGCCCTCAGTCAGCAAGAGGATATCAATTAAAGTACATTGTAAGTACCTATACGTTACACACATACAATAGAAGTGAATAAATTAAGTTTTTCAATACTTCGTCTAACAATTAAGACTGGTTCCTTTAAGCAGCCACTTGACTTCTACAATGACACATTGTGTGGAACGCTATAACAACTTCAAGCTTGGTAACTGATCAATAATAAAATATAACAAGTACTTTACCTAAGAACAATAGTGGAATGATGGTAATTAAAATAAATATAATTATAAAAAATTTCCTGGAAAGATAAGAAGAAGATAAAAGCTTGGTTTATGGAAAAGTACTCCTACATAATAGAAGAGTATATTAATTATAGAAAATAGATTTTTACTAGTTTAGTTTAGTTATAAGTTCAAACATTTATGCCAACGTGTGAGATATGCTAAGGGACTTATTTTTTGTTTTATCAGTTTTAGTATTCATTATGTCTCTGAGGATAAATATGATCATTTCGTTTCATTTCAATAAATTCATGTTTTCTTCATAATATAACAAGCCTGAGCTGGCTGAGCAGTAATTAGGATGTCTAGGTGTGGAACTGTTTTTCCCAAAAACTGTTTAAGGACGAAACTCATTCTAAGGACGAAATAGGTTCACAGAAAATTCGTAGTAATTGTTGTTTATCTTGGCAAGTTTCGGACGATTCTTGTTATTAATGGTGTTATTTAATGTCAGCGAGTAGTAGCTTTTAATTATTTTCTGGCTGTAAGGGACTGTTTGTGTCTTCGTGTCAACTCAAGCGGACATTTCGCTTTTATGCAAGATATCACTTTAATATTATTAGGTCCACTTTTCTTGAACACTTGAACTCCAAAATGGTATCTGCATTGTGCACTGTTGTGAATACTATATTACGAATTCTTGCTTGACTTTTCTTTTCCTTTGTTTAGTTCATCCGGTGATCCAAGTCCCCAACCAGTTGGTTGGGGCTCCACTGGGCACTGACGTCACCATCGAGTGTTACGTCGAGTCCTCGCCTAAGTCCATCAACTACTGGGTTAGAGATTCCAGTGAGTATATTCTCAAATAGTCTTCAATGTATAACCAGAAACATTGTTCAATCTTAAAGTCCATGTAATCTTTATTTAAAATTTGCGTACCTTTTCATATTTTTGCCAAGTTTGCTGGTTTGAAAGCTTAGAACCAGAGCAATGAAAATTGACTTTAACTTTTACTGTTTCAACCATTTTCTATTTAATTTTGAAAATGTTTTAACCACGTTATCTAACTGAGGCGGTTACTGTAATGTAAATAAATTAGCGGTAGATTTTATTGACTTTGTTTCAGAATTATTTAATTTGAGTTGTTTAAATAATACGTTTAACATTTTTATTCTACGGCTTTAATGATAGAGCTTCGATATTGCATTCAAAATACCTTAACTAAGTAGCTATTTAACTGAGTAAATATAAATTTCTCATTCACGCCCTCAGTTGAGGAGCAAAAACCGAGTTTCTACTAGAATGTTAGATTTTGTTAGAACTGTGACCCGTACAGAACTTGGATATTTTATTGTTATTGTAATACTTAAAATAAATGTATTTTTAGAGGAATTTAAATAAATTCGAGATACAAATACAAACAAAAACAATATTTTTAGACTAGGAATAATATATTACTTATTATATTCGTGTATAACCATATCTCATCTCGACAATTTCACAGTAGGTAAGCCTTTGTTTTGCAATTAATGCATAAATGCGACTCTAAATTAACAAATGTGCAGGCTGCGTGTCCCGTTGTCATGGTTACATGATTCATTTTGATTTGTTATTATAATAATAATTTCATTAGACGGCACGAAATGGCCTACTAAAGCAATTCGTTAATGTTGTTATTAGAAATGATATTATTATGTTGCTTTTATTAGTTTTAATTGTTTTATTGGTATGTTTAATAATAATAAAATTCTAAGAAGTTATCTCAAACACAAGACGGGTTTGAGATTACCTTCTTAGATTTTTTTTGACAAATATCTATTTCAATTGTGTTTGTTTTTTATTTATTTACTAGCTGACCCGGCAAACGTTGTTTTGCCATATAAATAACTTCCTAGTAATTTGTAGTGTAGACAAAAAATTGCTTACTTATTGAGGATTGTATGTATTGTTGTTTTGTATGTTGTATTATAAAAAATAGAAATTAAAAATTTTGTCATAAATTTAAAAAAAAATATTTAGTTGTCGACTACCCTTAACATTTAGGGGAATGAAAAATATTAAGATGTTGGCCGATTCTCATAGATACCGGATAAGCACAAAACATTTCATCAAAATCGGTCAAGCCGTTTCGGAGAAGTATGGCAACGAAAACTGTGACACAAGATTTTATACATTAGATTTAAAAACTTACTTAGTAAGAAAGTAAAGAAATATGGTAACCAAAGGAATGGTGGAACTATGTAAAGTTTACGTACACCAATCAATTTTCCACAAATTCATAAACATCTAAAGAAATGTAAGTGAATCCTTTTTTTAGTATTAATGTAAACAATCCAACATTTTATTGATAAATAAAATTATGGCTCAAAATAAAAGTCGTATGCTAACCTTAGTAAGTATCTATACTTACTTATCATAAAAAATAAATATTAATGCCCGCTCAGAAAAAGAACGAAAGAATTTTTGTACAGAAAAATAACTTGTTTTTTTTTCTAAAGTATATCAAAAGCCGTTAAGTACCACAGATTGTGTTGTGCCAGTAAGATGGTCTCGTGTCCAGCTCATTTAAGTACTCCTTAGGGACATTGTTTCTCGGTTACCAAGGCAACGGCACGCAAGTGACCTCTAAAACACTGAGTTTAATCGCAATTGCACTAGTAATTTAGTACGGCATCACTTAGGAAATGGTATAATTAGGAATAAGATTTATTTTTATACTGTCTTCAATTTGATATTACGTTTCCCTTAACTTTTTTTTCTTGAATTTTGAACTTGTGACTTTTAATGTTAATTGGCCACTAACAGACTAATGATATTTTTACCAAAGGAGCTTACTATAATCCGCAAGAGAAAGCGCCATTTAAAAATTTACGCTTCATTAAAATGATAACAACGAAAAGAAACAATGATAAGGAAGGAAAACCATGCTGAGATAATTACCATTTAAAATCATACAGCGACATTGACAAGCAACCACGCAAAAAAACACTCGAGCAAAAAATCCTAGGTAAAATGAAGAAAGTCTGCTTGTAATTCAAATTTTTTGGCTTGCGCCAAACCGGGGCGGGGTAACGCTTGCAAGTAATGAGATATTAAGTTTTAATTTACGAGTGCGTCGAGTTTTAGTCTTAAGAAAAGTGACCTATTGTGGTGAAATAAGACAATGGTCGTTAGTTCCAAGTGACTGGACACGATCCTTTACGATTCTCTTCGTAGACGTTCCACAATGCCTTTATAATTTATCACTTAAAGACTATATTGCGGACGCCATTAGCTTTTATGTAGTTCACTGTTTTAAAAATATCTATTTGAAATATATCGTAAAGTTAAAGACTGCGTGTAGCTTATGGCGGTTGTTTAAGAGCGTTTTCTGTTCAACGCTGTGCAGTTTATGGGCATACATACATAGATATATTATTTATATAGTTTAAAGTAACAAAGATGTTCGTTGCGAAATTTCTTTGTGCTAGCAACGTAAATTATATATTAAGAAAATTAATGTTAACTAAAAACTTACTACTTTTCTTTCTTTCTCATCAAACTATCAACACAAAAGTATCTATACAATTGTAGACCAGCTATATCTAGATTTGTAGACTAGTTATCTTAGCATGAAGTCTGAAGGCAACACACCAAGTTAACTGGCAGCACAAACATTCCACCAACTCCAGTCAAGCTTTTGATTCGGTAAGTTTCTGCTTAAGCGACCAAGCCGACCGACGACTTACTACCAACTCCATCGCTACACATTGATGTTTGTGAACTAGGAGTATTAGAATATAATGTGAGTGATCATTTGTATAAGTGGAAATCTTCTGAATTAGGTCCTTGTCATGTAAAGGGGAACATTTATTAAAATTGAGGTGTTATAAACAACACTATTCTTGAATAAAGGAAGTTCCAAAAACGTCAGAACGTAACTGAATTGCACCAATGTCTATGCTAAACAAAACCCTGATAACAAAATCACACACAAAGGTACACAATCAACCCGCACAACCACATAGTAATCACGTTAACATAAAAAAAAACGCTATCAAAAACACAAAATGAAACGCAATCACTTTAAAAATCTCGCCCAGATTGACAATGATTCAAAGATGTGCCCTCAAATATGGGATATTTGACTGAACTCAAGTGATCATTACACACTCCGTGCGAACAAGGTTATTCGAGCACGAAATGTTCGTTTATTCAACTGATGAATCCATATTTTATTCATATTCTCGTGTATGAGATGTGGAAGGCCGTCTATGCAGGCTCCCTCCTGAATTTCATATAAAATTCTTTACAGAATGATGCCGAGTTTTCACATAAATCTCTTTATGTGCTACTGATATTAGGAGTTGTCATTGGAATGTTCTTTATCAGCTTGTGGCGATGATTGCGAGTTATATTAAGAAGACATGTGTCTTGTATTTCTCCATTTCTACTGTCAATTCTCTAATAAATTGATGAAAAGAAACATTACTCTTTGATGCTGTTGCATATTCTATATTAAAAATTACTCAAAAAAGAATAATTTTGCTGTCATATAATTGGGTAGATTTCTCGGTCAAAAAGAAATTATTTCAACTTATAAAACCGTAAAATATTTAAAAATAATCGTAAAAGTATTCAATAATTAATTTTACAATCTACTTAAAATGATTATTTTTTAGATAAAAAAATGCGACGTCAAAAAGTGAAATTCGTAGAAAATATCGTTTTGAGCATTTTGGAAAAGTATTAAATTTTACTAGTTGGAAACTACCTGAGTAAAGTTGCCGTCAACAACTGCATTACTGAGTTCTAAATTGATGTGCAGAAAAAGACAGCAAATATTAACATCAAATCAAACAACCTTTTCCAAGATTTCCTCATTGTTTCACTTTAACATTTCAACCTACACAATGAAATCGCATCTACAGAATTGTGTAAAGTAAAATATACTTTATCGGTTATCCTTTTCCAAACATCTGGCATCGATCCTAGTTATGCAAACTATATACGGACGACACGACAATACTCACGCAACACAAAATGATGACATAAGGAATGGAGATTACGTGATTTCGTGTGACAGGCTGCCGTCTTTATACGAACTTCCAAATGTATTGTAGCTACATACTAAACTTTTTACGCGAAAAATAGACTCATTGTTATCGGATCAGACAAAATCGTGTAACTTTACCATCTCTTAAAGCGATGATTTATGTTAATATAAAAAATATTTACATAGGTCAAAAAAATCAAAAATAGGTTCTTGAATTATTGCATGAATCTAAGGCCTGATAACAAAAGTGACGAATTTACAAAAATATTAATTAATTTTGAATAATATTTGTCGTTAATATTATGAACCACCACCAATCTTATATATCTTCTCTAATATAAAAATGATATTTTGTTTGTTAGTCTCACTAAAACTCGAGAACGGCTGGTCTGTTTTGGATAATATTGGTCTACTAAAAATATTAGTTGAAGTCCAGGGAAGGTTATATTAAGGAAAATATACTTAGTTTCATTTAAGTCGTTACAGAGTTTGCAGGGTCAGCCAATATATATATACAAACGAATTGCTGTTGAAAACTCTTGCTAAAATTCGACAAAACTTCGAACGACATGACTTATTGTGGTCTTGAAATATCCCATTGATATACATTAAAGATGTCCGAAAAAAGGAAAATAAAAAATAAAACTTCATAAAAAAATATTATTAGTTATATTTGAGGCGGTACGAAGTTGGTCGGGTTAGTAAGTTTTCAATATAAAATACCTACATATTTCATTATTGTACTGACTATGGTATAGCTGATAAACAACAAAATGTAATGTTTACAAAACCCAATCTATGTACATATAAACACAATTTGAATTGTGTTGCGATAAAAATATCGAAGAACAGGCTCCAATAATCGTTCCCGTCACGCGACTGGAAGCTCGTAATACAGCCGTATAACCCGTGTTCCATATTGAAAAGTAGAAAACATTACCTACGTTATCATAATAAAAAGCCACATGAAATGCACAGTGAAAAATCCATTAACACTTATCCGGGCGTAAAATAAACCAAAGTAAATTAGGTGAGTAATAAAACAATAAATTCTTTGGCGCCATTCCTTTTGATAATAAGATATTATTCGGTTGAAGCTATGTGAACGTACAAAGTCATATTATTATGATAATGTTCCAGAGAAATGATTGTGTATATGATATACGTATGGACATAGGTATGTGTGTATGTATGTGGCTTTTGTTTATAAGGGTTCAAAGTAAAGATTTTCTTTTTGTTTTGATTTTGTTATCCTATGAAAAGATATATTATTGTCTATTTACAATATTTTATTATTATTTAAACTACACGGTTAGCGCATTAGCTGGACAACTGGCTGCTGTGCATTGAGTACGATTCCCGCACGAAAGTATTTTTGTGATCCACAATAGTTGTTTAGGATTTAGGTACGACCTCCATGTGTTTTTTTTTTGTTTGTAAATGTACCCTGGCTTTCTAGAAGTCAATTTGTCCTTGAATCTAGTAAATAGGCGAATAGTTATTATATTATAGAATTAATAATTAAAATATTTTAATAATTTTTCAATAATTAATAATATTATCATAAATAATTTGACCTAAAACACTTCTAATAGTCTTATTTAAACTTTGTTATATAATATAATATATGTATAATATAATACATGTTATCTACATATTTCAATCCAATTTGTTCATTTAATCTGCCATTTGCACTAACCAGTGATTTGTTAACAGTTAATTCATGTTTCACAAATTCTGAAACAATGGTATTGACAGATCTAAATAAAAACAAAAGCATATGGTAGGTTTTCCTTTAATTTATATCATACTTTTTCTCGTGTTAATAAGAGATACATAGCGGGACCAGACTTTATTGTCATAATTTCAGAAAATCACAAAAATACGTTTCATGTTATGTACATAAAAAACGATCATTAATACAAAGAGAACCTAAAAAATTGTAATATTGTTTCAATTTGTATTTATAATAATAGAATTAATTTTATAACACCTTAAAATCAATGAAATTGTTCCATAAACTGAATACTTTAAAAATAGCCCTTTTAGCAAAACCTAGAACAGGATGAACACGAAAACTAGCCACAAATATGACGTATCAGAATGAGTTCGTTCACGCAGTAGAGTAATGAGCTGGCGGGAACTCGTGGCTCGTGGCTGTTACTTCATTCGTTCCGTTCCCGCCCTCGCTCAGCGCCGTCGGCGGTTTCACGAAGTTCCCCATTCGGCACTTGTCGCGCGAAATTTACGGGTTAATTTTCAATGGGACTGGGTTCTGAGCTTCTGGAAATTTTAAGTTCCACATTATGCTTGGCTCTCATCCGCAGCGGGAATGTATGACGTAATAAAGGGAGAAGTTTTCCTTTTTTTATGTTCGTTCGCGGATATTCTGTTTATGAAATTTTGATGAATTCCGGAGTTGATTAGTTGCCAAAGGTGTCTAGACTGTGGTTTATTCTTGAACATGCTGTTTTGAGTATATTGTAAACAAGTTCTATGTAGGTAGAGATTGTCTAACGACAGTTATGAATAACGTAATAATATTCGCAAGATCTTGATTAATGTGATCAACTTAAAAAATATCTACCTATTTATTTATTTTCTGTAACTAACACGTATCGTAACCGATATAATCGATTTGATAGTGATTTAAAAATAATAATTCGATGAATTAAAATTGACTATAGTTTAACAAAACCTAACGCCTATTTACAAAATCGAATTTGAGTAGAACTAATAAATACATGTTTTGTATTGACAACATTTAAGATGAAGCAATAATATAATTCTATTCGAAGTGATTACCACACCATTGAAGGCGTTTCTTTGTCTACATTGTGACCTTCACCGCGGCCGCAATATTTTCAGCATACAGCCCAATTACGTACCCATGTACATATATAAACATTAAAATATTACATAACAAGTAATTTATACCAACGCTGACTTGCAACTCACTATACACTCAAACTTTCACCAGACTGATTGTAAAGTACGAAAATTAATATCAGTTACTTGTTTCATAAAGGCATTTTCATTCTATCGAACCACATGCAAAGAGTTATACAATACTAATTCAGAAGCACAACAAGTACATTAGCGGGATCTCACTATATTAATTAAGTAACACTAATAATGCCGAGCCTTGTATTTCACTCACAGACAAATGTGAGCGAGATAAATCATCTGTTATGATTAGCTTTTACGATGTACCTACGAATGAACATGAAAATAGATAAATTTGTCATATTGTCACTATTATTGTTGTGAAACCTTAGTTTGACGTTGCAATTGTGTTCAATAATTGAGTGGTCCCGTCGACATTGTTATTGTTGGCTTTGACAGTTTTAGTTATCGTGAATGTAAGATTTATTATGGAATCGTTAGGATCTTGTCATTAGCCTTACTTTTGAATAGCATTGTCTAGATTGCCGTGCTTCTTACCCTTGTACCACTAGGGCCTTACTAACGTAAACTAAAATTAGCATGTCAATAGATCTGCGCACACCCATTTACCCACAAGCCGTATCTCAGTTATAAGTAGCCCCTATGTTACACATAATTTCATTACCAAGCATGGTTTGTGGTCGCCTTTAGCACACGAGTGCTTTGTTCGCTTAGTCCATTACGTGGCTTCGTACAGCTCTCTGCGAACCTCAAGGGAGTCCAGTAACAGTCATAATAACTTCTGTCGAATGGTCGATACAGTTGCTCTTGCCATTCACACAACTCAATATTATCTAGTTGTGAACTTGGAGAACGTAATGCATACTTTACAACTTGTGTAAAACTAATACTCCGTGGAAATGCATTTGTTTTAGAATCGTATAGAGCGAGATATTCTCGTGTTTTATGTTTATGTGTACAGGATATATAGGTGAAGGCAGGTGACAAATAGTCTAGATGTACCTAAGTTTATGTAAATGTAAATATTATTAAGTGCATGAATTCGATTTAACTAATTCTAATTTGTACTGTAAGACTATTTCGTATTACAAAGGAACAAGTAAAGAGCATGAGAACTTTAGGGCCTAAACATGCTTCAAGGACGTGTTCAGACAATTTGCTTGTAATCTTACACGGTTAAGAGACCATTCATAATATTACTTTCATTCAGCTATTATTAAATATAGTTTGCAAATAATCGAAGAAGCTATTGTAAACATAAAAGCAATTTCATAGAAATAGCTATATATATATTATGATGTATTTAGAGTTCAATTTATAACGGCTTCGCGGGCTAATTATTAAAACACATTAAGGTCACAAGTTGTTTTACGTCTGCGTTATGATCCATGGGGGCATTGTCGACCGGGGTACGCAGCCCTTTGTTTGGCCGCCAACTTGTGCCCGATGACTGGCGCTTTCACTCCGGCCCACTTCCAAAACCAGCCCCAAAGGGTAACACTACAGGATCGTCATTTTCGTTTGTCATCAATCTATGTTAGGGTTGCTGACATGTAAGTGTTAATTAAGCAGGCCTCACTCGAGCGTAATTAAGAGTGTTACAGTGTTATTTTAGACATTAATTGAGATGAAATTTCTTGTTATAATGAAACGAGTAGACTTCGAGACTGTCGAGTAATTTCTTCTGAAGGCCATCTTCGCCGTACGTCGTTAAGTCGAAGCACACTGGAGAGTAAACAAACCGAAGTTTCGATCGGAATGAAGATTAAGAAAGGCGTTACTGGTGTTATCGTTTCCTTATAAAGTTCATAGGCGACGAAGCTTAAATTAATGCCTTTATAAATTGTGGCGCTAAATATTGTGTAAATATTTTGGCCAGTATAAATAGTGTGGGATATTTTATTGGTTCTAATAAAACGTAGCGCTGAAAGGAGTGTTTAACGGGACGGGCGCTGTGTAGTGTTTTCGAAAGAAAGCCAGTCGCTTTATCATTTGCGGACAACAGGCGGTAGAGGCTTACCACAGCTCCGAGGCAGCGAACGACATACTTACGTACCGCAATGTAGGGATTGTTTGGGCCACCTCTATAAAGGGGTCTACCAGGAAATGTCGGCGATTTGGAGCTTCTTGAAAAATATCGTTTCCCCTGCAACGGTATTTTCTGAGGGACAACTGAGACATTGTTTACCTTATCTGGTAAACACTTTAGTTCGCCACAGCTGGATTCAATATAAATGTACGCGAGCTAAGGAGATTTCACATTTTTCACGGAATAACACGTATTTTGTCTTACGATTCAAATGTATGTCAGAATAATAACTAGGACCTCGTATCTGTATCATATTTCAACAAAGCCACGGTGGCGTGTAATACGATGTAATAGATTATTGTATGAAAACTGTGAGGTTTTTCTTATATCTTACGCAAAATATTCATGAAATGGAGTGTCAAGTAAAAGAAAACTGAAGACGTAATAATTCTTTTTACGAGTTTCTTCACGCAGAACTGAAAGAAAAAGTTTGCAGTAAACTATTTTGCTTTGCCCAGAGATAGTGAAATTGTGTTATTTGAATCTGTTTTCTTTTTGCATTCAACAGTTTATTACCCTAAGTTTCTTAGTACTTTACTTTGTTATTATGTTTACTCTAGGGCTTGCTGTTAGAATCTTTTTTTATTTTTTTACAGTTCTTTGCTACTTTGAATGAAAGGAGGTTTTTATTGTGACAATATTTATTTGTTGTGCAGATGAAATGGTGATATCATCAAATAAGTACGAGGTGGTGAATACAGTGATTAGTTCGTTCGAGAGTCGCATGGCGTTGACAGTGAGAAGACTAACATCGGCAGATGTTGGTGGCTATAGATGCGTTGCGAAGAATTCACTTGGCGAAGTTGACAGTGTCATCAGATTGTACGGTAAGAGCTTAACATTGTACCTATCAAACTAAATGTGACATCTTTCTATGAGACACTAAACCTTTACTTTTAGAGGTAGTAAACAGAGCTATGACTTTCATAAAAAGACCTTTTTAGTTTCCGTAGAAATGGCTTCCCTAGCCTAGGCTTTTAGTTGGCTAGCTTTCTAGCTTTCTTGAGATCCTGGTTCTAAACTTGATATCTCATATATTTATATCACTAAAATATTAAAACACCCAATAACAAATGGTTAATAAGCACTTATGTAATAGTTCGATAAACGAGCAGAAGGATTACCTGATGGTAAGCAATCAACGCCGCCCATGGACACCCGCAACGGAGGAGTTACGAGTGTGTTACCGACCTTTAAGGGATTAGGGATTTGGAGATTAAGGGATTGAGGAGGGATTGGGGGTGGGGAAGGATTGGGCCTCCGGTAACATCACTCACACGGCGAAACACAACGCTGTGGTTGTTTCACGCCGGTTTTCTGTAAGGCCGTGGTATCACTCCGGTCGAGCCGACCCATTCATGCCGAAGCATGGCTCTCCCACACTTACTACTACTAAGTAATTACAATTTCATATGTCTTATTTTTTTTTCTTGGTAGGTTATTTGTAAGTATTATGATCTGAACAGATTTGTTTATAATTTTCATATGAAATCAACTTCAGCTACAGAAATGATCTAAAAATTCGAGCCTCTTAATCACTTATACTTCGATAAAACATTTCAATGAATGTACTTAATGGAAAAATACAATTGGTACTGTTAAGAGCATCTATTTTCTACTGTGTGTGGAAGTGGAAAGCAAACAAGAACTAGTGTGAGTCTGAAACAACAAGTGTAGCAATTACTGTACATCGATACAGCTTGTTTAATTAAAACAAGACCAAGAGGTATTTTATTATGTTCCTAAAACTTCTGCAGTTGTAGAAGCTTGATATAAATATTTATGTGTTTTTCTATAAAGTATTATTGAGTATTTCGATTTGTTAACTGTTTGCTGTAGAAAATCGTATAACATTGGGTGGTATTAGGATGGCCATGTGTGTGTGTGAACAATAAATTTAAATCTAGTCATCTTTAGAATACGTAATGTTACTTTCAAACTAGGTAAATTTAAGAGTTTTTTTTTTATATGTCAAAAACTTCCTTTTTCTACGAATTTGTGTGAAATATATATAATATTCTTATTTCTCTTGAATTATTAAAACAAATACGGATATGAGGTATATTGTAAAATTCATAAAAAAAATGATTTTTTTATAATAATTTTATAAGTTGAAATTATTCATTTTTTCCGGAGAAAATAACCAAAATAGTGTGATTCATTGAAAAATGTAACAAAAACACATTTTTGTTCACAGAAATCCCCGGACCAACAGTAAAGAACACAAGTCCAGCGAACAAAAGGGAAGAGTACAGGTATTCCACCCCCATAGAGGGGCCAGACAATCAATTCGGGTCCGCTGACACATCGGACGACGAAGATGAACGAGACATCGGCACATACACAACCGACAGACATTCAAATTCATACAGAAATGAAAATGTAACTAGAAACAGAACTATCAATTACGCCCCAACAACAGAACAAAAACTGAACAATAAAGTTCGCAAAATTATTAACAAATTTGAAATAGAAAAGTTCGGCAACAACAGATGTTGCGTGCATTCTCTATTTGTAATAAACTGTGTTCTTTCATTAGGAATTATTGTAGTACTAGATTATACGTAGACTTGTTTGTACTGTTATTCTATGATAAATATGTATATGAATGTTTATATTGTTAACCAAACAATACTTCGGTACTCATTCCAATATTATAAGGTACGATGCAACATTATATGTACCTAGCCTCCAACCATAATTAATTGAACGTTTTGAAGTGGGATCGAAATTGATATTGATGAGAGAGTTCCGTAGCTGTGGAAATTAATATTCTATTGACGCAATATTGGTACATTACATTATTACCTGTTATAATCGAATATTTATAAAAAGGTTTACTAAGTAACATCATGTGTGGTATGATATCAGATTATTTTTATAGACATACTGATTTTGACATTTTATTATTAAAAGAAAACTTTGACCTAAAGCAGCATTTCCTCCTGTGTCGTGAGTGTTAAGACACCCAGGCTCGAAACAACAATTTGTGGATCACACCACGTATTGTTCAATGCGCGAATCGATCCCGCGACACGTTGCACAGCAGCCAGTTGCCCAGCCACCGTGCCAACCACGCAGTCATATAGATATAACTTTATAGCTTATGTTCATCGACTTCTAATGATACTTTTAAAATAATGTGACCGACGAAAACTTGGTGGTTACTAACTAATACAAAAAACAACTTAATTGTTATTGTGTTTCATGTCATTTTCAGATTTCAATTGCGTTCTTCGTGCTTCTCTCTCAGACAGTCTCGTTTATTCAGTCTGATCCCAAAACCCAATCACCGGTTCGGCGGAATCGGGTTTTCAATTTAAAATTTTGACCCTGGATTTTTAACCGATACATGACAATAGACTTCTTTTATAACACAGCACTGACCTTTATTCGGGAAAAGTGGGTGTTCCATACCCCATCAAAGATTTATAGACATACTAAATGCTGAAACGTAAGTGTAGGTAATCCATTAATGTACCTACGTATTAGTTCTACGAAATTTCAAGTTTTGAAATGTTTTCAAAACATTATGTTCCAAATTTCTCAACTTCTGTAGGTATATTACTAGGCAAATTAATTTGTTAAGATAACAGCGCTGTTATAATATTAACTTTACTAAAATTCTTAGGAACTTGATCAAGAAGTGAAGTTGAGAAGGCGTAACGGGCAACAATTCATATTTTGGATGTACTTAATATTTATAACGTACATGTAATTTAATGTGTGCGTTTACGTCATAGAGAACTTAAGCGACTTAGAAATATACATATGGAAAAGTCTTTTGTCGTCCACATTACATCCCGCATCCCTTCCTTCATTTTAAGTTACTGGGGTCAGCAAAATATATCCTGTTTCAGGCTCTACAGTCAAAGATCATCGTATTAATTTTAATTTATTCATTGATCAATTTATTTTTATATCATACAAAATAAAGAATCACCCCTTTTCTCGATGTTGACATTCTCTACCCAATTTATACTTCCAATCCATATATGTACAATATTTCATAGCTTAATCCAAGACTGGTCATATTTTTATTAATTATTCAAATTCAACTTTCTTTCGTTGACCCCGATGTTTTATTTCACTTTCAGTTAATTGCATATTTCTCCTATATTTCGTCAATTCGCATTATTTTACGCCAATACAAAATGTTGGGGGTTTCATAAAATTTTCACTTATGTATTTTACCAAGACTTTTGTCCTCAACAAGGAGCATTTAAAAGGCTTGTCACACACCGACAGACACCATTTTTTATTAATGTAAATGCGGCTTTAAATTCGAATCCGTGGCGAATACAACTGTGAATGGATGTTGGTGACAATACTTTGCTGAATATTTAAAATTATCATCCAAAACCATGTGTTGAGGAGTTTATTTCGACTTATAAGCATTTCCTTTTGAATTTTTTACACATGCTATTTTATCCTCTTCTTTATTATAGTCTGAGTCTTTGTTCCGTTTTTCAAGTTCAGTGAATTGTATAATAAATAATAGAGGCTTGTTATTCTTACGAGTATTTGATCTTACATCCTTAGATATCAATAATATACTTAATATAATATATCTTTCATGTTTGTTCTTCGATTCGGATCTATAATACGACCTCATTGAGAATTTAAAATTAGAACTGTAGAATTATTACATTTCGTATCACAGTTCCGTATAATCCTGACTACATCTCATTTAAATTTGGAACTTCTGTTTTACGTTAATATTTTAATAATTTTGAAAACAAAAAGTTGGAACCAACACACATTAAACTAAAAGCAAATTTAATTCCCCTCTGTGATATCTATATTGTAATTTGGAATAATCGAAAAACGTAATTAGCATTTGTAATATAAATTCAATAAAATTATTATTTCGGGAATTCGATTACGATACCTACATATTTTATGGAAGTTAAAATCAACCTTATTTTGGATTTATAAATAAATAACTTTTTTATTTGTGGTAGCAATAGTATAAATATGACTACCTGATTTTCATTATAATCACTGATCACATCTATTCTAAGTCCCACGTTGGGTGCCAATAACATTATAATTTTCTTTAACACGGTAATAAAGGCACGCTTATAAACAATAATCTGATATCATTACTATACGCACATGTGTTTGTAATAGATAAGTAGAAAAGGTTAGTTGATTGACCAAAATCTCTGACCTCCGTGCAACGAATATCACTACTGCCAATATTAAACTTAAGTCAATTTGTTAATTTGTGATTATAACACAAAAAAACCAATAGTATATAAGTCTCTCTTACATAAATGATATGTTGATGCTAGTTAAGACCAAAGTTATTTAAATATTAAAATACTTTAAGAGATACCACACAGATTTCCAATTTTTGTAGTTTTAAATTGGCGCTAGTGAGACGTAAGGGTCATTGAAGTTGAATGGCTGTAACAACATGATAGTAATAAATATTTTTGGGGATAATAATGTCGAAAATAAATTCAGAAACAAAACTGTCCTTGTATGTCATGTATAAAAGTTTTTGCTTGAGGTAAAAAGTGACCAATTTTCTTTTGTAATTTAGTATGCAAGTTACCTGATGGCAGGCAATCGCTAACATTCATGGTTACTCTCAATGCCAAAGGAATTTCTAGTAGCGCATTCTATTCCTCTTACAAATTGTAATTTCACTAAACATTATTGTTATAAAATCTATCGTTAAGGTGATATTAAGAAACATATGTCTGCATAAAAACGGGTTTTCTTCCGATTTGTTAGCTTTTAAACTATTGAATCTATTTATTTAGCTAAAATGATTCATCATCATCAGCCTATAAGTGTCCACTGCTGAGCAAAGGCCTCTTCTCATACGGAGGTTAGAACATTAATCACCACGCTTGCTCAACGCGGGTTGGCGATTTCAAAATTATAATTAGAAATTATAAGTCCAGGTTTGCTCACGACGTTTACCTTCACCGTGTATCAGTGGTGTCTGAATAATCATAGAAAGTACATATAACTCGGAAAAAGTCACATTGTTACTTGCTAGGTTTCGAACCCACACCCTAATGCATGAGAAGCGGGCTAATTAACCTCCGAGCCACCACGACCAAAAATGATTGATATGGTACAATACTTTTGATTTTAATCCATATAAGAATGTAGCTTGGTTTTGCAATTTATTGAATAGCGCGGCGACCGAGCTGACCTGAACAATACCTGATGGTAAGCAATTGGCTTCTGTAACACCTGAAGAGTTATTATTGCGTTGCTGGTCTTTCTTGTTTCAAGCTGGTTTTCAGTGAGGCCGAGGTATAACTCAGGTCGAGCATACCGGAGTATCGAAGCATGGCACTCTCATACCTATGGCTCTTAATTAAGTATCTACAATAATTTAAACTAAACAACGATAGTCATAATCATGTCGCCAGCAATCCACATACATTTCTAACATTTTGTTATTTGAAGTTGTTAATAAAAAGAGTATAAATATAAGCATAATTTTCTGGAGTACAGAATAATATTTATAAACAATATTTGACCAAAATTGTAGCCAGAATGTACCAAAAATATATGTAATGTATATAATTATGTTGTAGTTTCAAAAATATATATAATGTTAACAAAATAAGTGTATATTGGTTTTGTATATTTTCTTGTTATGATGTCTAAATAAATAATTTTGTACAGAAATCCATAGTAGGTACCAAATTACAATATTATTTGTAACTTTAGAATATAATTTCTAAACAATTATTTTTATGTTTTTGTGGAACTGAGTCGCTAGTTAGAATATGGCATTATACATAAATAAATAAATAATTATTATTGTACATCTCTTGTTTGAATCGACAACCTAATTATTTCGTTGTGGTTTGGTAACAAATGTTGCAAGTTGTTATGATGAAAACAATTATTAATTGGTAAACAGTTATAGTAAGGTTCAATTTATTTGCTCTGAACTGAACATAAAATTTAATGATTAATTAACGATTCAAGATCATAGTTTCTTACACCAGACTAGACGAAGTCTCACCTGGCTAATATGTTTAATAAAAACTCAAAACTTTAAAACTATTACTGTAGGTATCTACACTTACAATTTTTTTTTATATCCTTTCTTTCATTACACTTATCAAAAAAGTATTCAAAGAAAAAAAAATAAGTTTACACTACAACAAAGTTTATACAACTTTTACACTTCATAATACCAACACCAACTTTTCAAAGTACACAACAATATATACTTAGAGCGAGCTAAAAATTCTCAACAGATCTTCGGCCTACATTAGATAACAATACGTATCACATCTCCACACGCCTGAAAAATAAGTGGCAACTCTCACAAGTCAAGTTAGGAGACGTCTTGTGGTTCGTAGCAAGTTTCGACCGATGTGGCGGATTACCCCGTCTCC